GCTGCACTCCGTGTTTTAGCGCGAAACAAATTCCGATTGCTCTCATCACGGAATTGGCTGTCAAATGTTTGATTGATTGCATGGGTGCTCGGCGACATTCTGTGACAAGACAGGCATCACGTCAGGCCTCGGGGCTCGTATGATGGCCCGTAGAGTCGCCAGATTCCGAACATACCGACCAGCCGTTACCTGTAATCTGTTGGTCTGGTCTGGTCTGGTCTGGGGCATCGTAGTGCATTGCATTGCAGTGTAGTGCTGCCAGTACCAAGAACGGAGTCCGTCCGAGTGCTGGCAGAGGCGATTGATTCCGGGCGCAGAGAGAGAGGCAGCTTTGTGCGGCAGTGTCTCGGATGACAGAACTCGTGAAAGCTGCTTTTGATGCTGAGAACTAATGCAGCCCTAGCCTCAACTCAGGCACATCAGGCAGTGGTACGAGGTCAAGCTTCAGCAGTCATGCATCAGCCCTTTGCAAATGCACATCAGGACGGATTCGTGGTGGAGACACGGGCGCTGCTGCGGATAATAGAAACATGGATGTTCGTGAATTCTGCCTCATTGGCCTGGTTGGTAAGCAGCTTCATCTGCCGCAACGCGTCTCACTGGAAGGGAAAATGTGAGGGAGAGGGGAGAAGGTGGACGACTCCGCAGCGAGGCAAGTACAGGTACCTCGCCCGCAAAAGTACCGGTACGAGCAGCAGCCACAGGCACAGGTACCGACAGGCACTGAAGGGAGCACTGTATTGGATGACGACTGCTGCACCAGCACTTCAACAGCGCCTGAATGAACACGAAAGCGAATGCGCGCGCGCGGCATGGCGTTATAGGCGGGTTCCGGTACAGCCCGGCATCTGGCAGTCAAATTTGCACGCTCAGCATTATAAATTGGTTTCTGCACTCCGACGAAGCCAAGATCCGACGCCCCCCGTATCGGGATACCGAATACCAGGTTTTGAAAATGGAAATCAAATGCATCGGGTGGCTGTGTGCCTGTGCCTGTGCGTGTGCTTACGGGCAGAGAAGCGTATTGAATGTTCGATCCAAATGTTGATGGAGGCGCCATGCCATCGTTCTCATGACTCGCTCTGCGGTACCTCTACCAACAGCCCGAAAATGTTCACGATGCCCTTCTGACCTAGTCCGCTACGGGGCTAACGCGCACCCGCTAGCTGGCTCTCCCCAACGCCCCCTGAACGCCTCGTCTTAACCGCTGTGGCCCCCCGTAACTCAATTGTGCTGCCCCGTTGGAGGGCTGTAACAGCCTGAACTGGGCGCCCTCCCGATCTGGGACGCCAAGTACCTGTACCTGCCCGTGCCTCCACAAATCTCGCCCAGTGATAAGCCTGCAGAGCCAGTGACGCTGATGCCTGAGGCAACGTGGCTTGCCGTGAGCGGACCGGCCCACCAGCTTTGTCTCAACTCGCGGTACCTCGTCCAGCCGCTTCAAACTGTTGGCAGAAACCGTCGAACTTGCATCCAACAAGACCATCGTCGTCCATAATTCGAGCCTCTTTTCTCGCCATCCCGCCGAAAAAGTTGCCTCTACCGTCCAGCGCCTGCTTCCACGTCTGCTGTGCGAACCATGGCCGCAGTTGCTTGATCGAAACCCCCCGTTAGCGTCACCCGAACATTGATACCGTCAATCCACGTCCCACCTCCGCATCCACTCGTCGTATCCTCTCCATTTTCATCGTCATCGTCAACGCCTGCGTTTGCGTCTGAATCTGCATCGACATTTGCATCTGCGTCTACATCTGCATCTGCGTCCTCGACTTCGACTTCTTCTACGTCATCAAGTCTTTCGCTTCCTTTTCATCATCATCACTCATCATCGTCGTCGTCATCTCCCATCTCCTCCATCTCCTAAACCAGCAATGCCATCCTCAAAGGTCGCCAACAGCTCTGCTGGGGGCCAGGTCAGCAATCGCCTGCGCAACTTCTTCCGCATGAACAGCAGCGCGAGTAGTATCGGCGAAAAAGAAAGGAGCAGCAACTCGCTTAACCTCAACGGGCCTTCGAGCAACGGCAGCGGCAGCGACTCGCACTCTACCAAAACTTCTCGACACACCAAGCTATTCAACAGCACCGTTGGTCGCCTGAGGTCACATACCGTCGCCAGCGAGAGCAACAAGCTAGAAGAGGCAATGAGCCCTACGGCGCTTGCCAACCCCTACTTTGCTCATCAGGGACAGCCTGGCCTGCGCCATCACAACGAAGGCTCTGTGCCACCAAGTCCTCCCGATACGCCAACATTGAAGGTGTCGGGCCCAGATGGCACAGAGGCCGAACAGGCTACAAGCGAAACTAAGGAAGAGCTGGCCCGCAGGTTAAGGAGGGTTGCCAGTGCACCTAATGCCCAGGGACTCTTTGCGAGTGCTGGAAACAAGGGCGAGCGCCCCGGCACCGCTGAACTCGGCAAAGACCCCTTGATCCAGAATGCCAAGTCAGGGTCACTCGGCCTCGTCGACGGCGGTAAGGCCGATGCAGTACAGCAAGCATACAGCGAAGATACTCTGGGTGCTCTGCCTCCTCCCCAGACCTCTTTAGCCTTCCGCAGAACGTACAGTTCCAACTCCATCAAGGTCCGCGATGTCGAAGTTGGGCCTTCCAGCTTCGACAAGATCAAGCTTATTGGCAAAGGTGATGTGGGCAAAGTCTACTTGGTTAGAGAAAAGAAAAGCAACCGGCTCTATGCCATGAAAGGTGAGAAATGCGAGTTGGAAAATTGACACCTCTGCAGTTGCTGATTTGGCCCCCATAGTCTTGAGCAAGAAGGAGATGATTAAGCGAAACAAGATTAAGCGCGCCCTCGCTGAACAGGAAATTCTTGCGACAAGCAACCATCCCTTTATCGTCACTCTATACCACTCGTTCCAGTCAGAAGACCATCTTTATCTATGTATGGAATACTGTAGTGGAGGAGAATTCTTCAGAGCACTCCAGACTCGCCCTGGCAAGTGCATTCCAGAGGACGACGCTCGTTTCTACGCCGCCGAGGTCACGGCTGCTCTGGAGTACCTCCATCTCATGGGTTTCATCTACCGAGATTTGAAGCCGGAGAGTACGTAACCACCTTCAGATGAGAAGAGAATGAGGAGACGCAGCTGACTAACGAGTTTCTTTAGACATTCTGCTTCACCAGTCCGGCCACATCATGTTGTCGGATTTCGATTTGTCAAAGCAGTCTGGCCCTGGTGGCAAGCCGACGATGATTGTTGGCAAGAACGGAGCTAGGACAGATTCTTTGCCCACAATTGACACGCGATCATGTATCGCCGACTTTAGAACGAATTCGTTTGTCGGCACTGAGGAGTACATTGCCCCCGAGGTGATCAAGGGCAGTGGACACACAAGTGCAGTGGATTGGTGGACGCTGGGCATTCTCATCTATGAAATGCTCTACGGAACCACACCCTTCAAGGGCAAGAACCGAAATGCCACCTTTGCCAACATCTTGCGCGAGGACATTCCCTTCCCAGACCACACTGGAGCGCCCCAGATTTCAAAGTAAGTCACTCATGTCTTATATAGAACGACTTGCCACATCAATTGTTGCTGACCCATCTCATTATAGCCTCTGCAAATCCCTCATCAGGAAACTGTTGATCAAGGACGAGAACCGCAGGTTAGGTGCCCGAGCTGGTGCCTCTGATATCAAAGCCCACCCCTTCTTCCGAACGACTCAGTGGGCTCTGATTCGCCACATGAAGCCTCCTATTGTCCCTAACCAGGGCCGTGGAATCGATACCATCAACTTTAGGAATGTTAAGGAGAGTGAAAGCGTTGACATCAGCGGGGCCAGAGCCGTTGGTGTTCCCCTGGATAGCGGACTGGCAACTCCCGGCACTGAAGCTGCAGACCCATTCCTGGAGTTTAACAGCGTCACGCTTCATCACGATGACGACGTGCAGTTCCATGACATTAATTATGCTTCATCACCCTCATCTCGAAGTTGAGATGGCCTTTTGAAACCTGGGGATCCGACATCGAACCGATTACTTTTCTTCTCTCCATGAGGCTCCGGCCCAAATTTTGATATCATGCGTGTACACGGCTAAGGTTATGGGGATTGTTAAGATTACGACATTTGAGTCTTTTTTATTCGAGCGACCGAGTTTTGTTTTACCTTTTTGGAGTTGATGCCTGCATGGAATATCCCGTCATTCGCTCCTTTTGCTTTACAGCAGGCAAGCTAGCAGATACAAACTCATAGCGGATTCCGTACGATGCCCCATCCAAAGTTGTCGTTTAGGATTATTGTTGAAGAAAAGTCTGTCCAGCATCGTTGCAAGTCCTGTCCACTTGAATTCGGCGTCTTATTTGGTTTCTTTTCTCTTTTTTTGGGCGTTTTTGGGAGTTGTTTTGGCGCCAGGGAGGGCATGTCATGTAAACTGTCAACAGTCTATGAAGATACGTTTGATCTACCAATAGAACAAGGATATTCTGACGAGTCTGCGTGTGTCCTTCTGTGATGCTTTTCTATACATGGCTATTATCTTGTTTGGAGGTTCTTGTCTATATTAGTGTAATGAGAGTTAATATCAGCTTTGAGGTCTAATCAACAATGAGCTCTACTACCTAGGTAACTCTTGTGATATGTGTACCGTGGCTGGGAAGTGAATGCCGTATAGCATAAGCAGGTCCGACCAATAAACACTATGGGAAGTTTATTTCTGGCATCGATCTTGCGAGAAGTTGAGCAACGCAGCTGCCGAAGAGCTATCTACCAAAAGTCCTTATTTATAGATCCTGTGTAAACACCAAACTTTTCTTCCCCCAATACTATCTACCGCTCATTCATCAAACCTTTTCGTCATATTTCGGATAACAAGCAGCCGAACATCACATTCACTTAGTATACACAAAAGACAGCATTACGAACGATGGACATGACCCTCTGTACCATAACTGAACCTTTCTGTTCTGCCTTAGCTCAACCTTTCTGTTTTGCCACAGCTCAACCTTTCTCTTCAACATCAAACCACATACCCTCAAACGCCATCATGTCATACCACCAGCAAGAACTCCCGTCTACGGCGCAACGCACCTATTTCATCTCCTACATCCCGCAAAAGAACCCAGAACACAGCCCCATGAGAAGCCTCGCCGAGCTCCGCGATAGACTACATCTCGAAATCGCCGCCCCCCTACCCAAAGTCCTCGTGGTCCCAGTATTAGTGGACAAAACCACGTAGAGCGTGATCGAAACCTTTGGCGGCCCGCCCGTCCAGTTCTACGAAGATCACCTGCAGGGCACCGCACCAACCCCGACCAGGTACAGCGCGCCGCAGATGGCCTGCCGCTGGCGATTTCCGCAGCTCGTGACGGACGGGTGGGAGTGTAGCGATACGAAAATCAGCAGCGCGCTGGGTAAACATGTGGTGTTGTCCGCGTCGTTTTGGTGCGCAAAGGTGCCGATGCTGTTCGTCTCGCAGCCAATGTTTACGAGTTCGAGCCGGCCGTTTGAAGACAAGTGTTTGGATCAGGAGATTGCGTGGGATTTTCCGGCGCAGTATAGTGGTGAGATGAAGATTGAGGAGTATATCAATTTCTGGGTGTATCATCGCTGGGTGGCCTTTTTGGGAGCCTTAAGACCGTCTGACTTGACGCGGGAGATGCTTTTCGTGGTGATGAAGGCGTTGGAGCAGAATCTTGAGGAGGTGCGGTACTTGTCTGGACGAGGATGGGGGATGAGTGGTGCGAATGTGGGGGATTGGAAGGAGTTGCTGGATAGATTGATGAGGAGGGTGGACATTATGGCGTCTGGAGTCTTTTCGAAGCAGGAGGTTGAAGTATATACGGGAGAGGCGGCGAGCGCGGGATGAAATATCTGGCGTATCTTTTTTCTCGTGTCTTGGGCGTCTTTTAGCGATGGATGGGTTGTGGTGGACTGGATCACTCTTTGTATGCGGCAGCGTTGTCTTTAGAACCAAAGCGATGAACTCACAAAAGTCTTTGGTGTAATAGCCTCATGCAGTATGAGAGAATCATGTCTGATTTCCTTGTATCTTCACCAATAACCTCCTTTTTTTTTTCTCTTGCGTTATCGTACAGTCGTAGCTATGCCCCTAGTCCGTCCTCCCCTCCAAGATGTGATGTTCCTATTTCATGACAACAAAATAGAAATATGAATACCCCGTTCCCTGATACACGCACATTGATATGTCGGGAGAATAATAAAATGAAACCCCAATAAAATGCCTCCATGAGTATCATCATAATCATCAAAATCGCTGCTGCGGCTCGAGTTCAGCATCTCCCTTATCTCATGCCATCATCTCGCCCGCATTCCCATCCTTCTTCCTCCGCGCAGACGGCCCAATCTTTTCCTGTCCGCCCATCCACGGCCGCAGGCACTCGGGAATAGTAACGGTGCCCTCCTCCTCGTCCCACCCGTTCTCCAGCAGCGCGGCCAGCACCCTCGGCACCGCCAGCGCCGTGCCGTTGGCCGTCCAGGGGAAGCTCAGCTTGCCGCTGCTCGTCTTGAGCCGCGTGGCGAGGCGCCTCGTCTGGTAGTCCGTGCACAGGCTGGCGGAGGTGACCTCGCCCCAGCCGCCGCTGTGGTGCTCGCGACTCGGGAACCAGGCCTCCATGTCGATCTTGCGGGTGGCCGAGGCGCCCAGGTCGGTGGAGGGCATGGAGAGCACGCGGCAGTAGAGCCCCAGGGACGAGAGGATCTCGGTCTGCATGTCGAGCATCTCGTCAAAGACCTCGCGGGCCTCGAACTCGTCGGGGCTGGTCCACGCGAACATCTCGACCTTGGAGAACTCGTGCACGCGGTACAGGCCCTTTGTCTCGGCGCCGCGGGCTCCGGCCTCGGCGCGGTAGCATCGCGATACGGCGACTCGCTTTAGGGGTAGGTCCACGGCGTCGATGGTGGACATTGCCTTCATACCGGCGAGAGGGATCTCTGACGTGCCGGCAAGACACATTTCAGGTACTCCACGGTCAATGTCGGCTTGAGACTGGGCAATGGAGTAGACTTGCTGCTCGCCGTTCTGGTCCCGGGGCTGGAAGCCACACGCAGCGCCAATGTGGCTGTAAACCATGCTTGGAGGCGATACCTGAGTCCATCCATGCTTGGTAGCAACGGTGAGGGCATACTGGATGAGAGCCTGTTCAAGCTGTGCTGCCTCACCAAGCAGGTAGTACCATCCCCAGCCAGACGCCGTCGCCGCTCCAGCAAAATCAAGGATGCCCAGTTCGGCGCCAATGTGAACGTGCGACCTCCAGAGCTGCTCCGGCCCTTGCTCGAAGCTTGGAGGCTCATTGATGTAGCTCAAGACCTCGGCCTCATCCCCTCTAGGCGTGTCGGCACTGGTGAGGTTGGGAATCTCCAGCGCCAGCTCCTCCATCTGCGTAACCGCATCGGCCTCCTTCTTCTCAATCACAACCAGCTCGCTCTTGAGCGCCCGAGCCTCCTCCTGGACCTTCTCCCGGCTCATCTGCTTCACATCCTTCAAGTCCTCATCGTCACTGCTCGTCGCCGAATTCGCCAGCTCTTTTCTCAGCAAATTAGACCTCTCCCTCAACGCACGACCATCCTTCTGCAGCTGCTGCCACTCAGCATGCAGCTGTCCAATCCTCGCGGGGTGAGACGCCTGGCGCTTGTAGTTGCGCTCCAGGCATGTGTTTTCATAGAGCTCCGGGTTTTGCCGAATGTGCTTGATGTCCACGATGGGCTGTGGCGCGGACGAGGGACGCTTGACGTCTGAGAAGCTCCGCGCATAGAGAAGTCGGGCTTGTAGCCGCCATTGAGGGCAGCGCAAGCGGGCCAGAGACGTGGTCATGGCGGATATTGTCGAGGCATGGTTATGATGTCAAGCCGAAGCTATTTGCAGCTCCATCTGATGATGGTGGTGTGGTGGTCGGAGAGCTCTGCCGATATGCGATTAAGCGGAACATTTACAGTGCGAGACACCACTGTACGCATACTGTCTCGGGTGCCAGCCATCAATCCAGTCAATTCAGATCATGCAAGTAATGAATAAATGGTTCCCGTCAGTAATATCTGCCAAGGGTATAATGTTTCACGCAAATCACATCGTTAGGCTGACCTTGTTTGAAATTCGCCTTGTATGCTTAAATGTTACAGTAAGAACTTTAATCACCACAACGCGAGAGACGCAGTATTTGCATTAAAAGACATATTTCATCATTGACACGAGTCTCGTGTCATCGCTATTTTATCTGCGCTCAAGCCAACCGCTCTGTTTGCATCGAATCTAATACATCATTCATACCCCCCTTTCCCCAGAATAAGACATTATTCATGTTGTATATATATAACGCTTCCAAATCCAATAGTTTAAATAAACGCCATGCTCAGACAGCTGCCGTCGCCCCCTTTTTTAAATGGAATGGTATCAACCCAAAGCAAAAATCTCAATCCGGAGAGATGAAAAGAGCATGCCAGAAAAGATGAAATGAACGCTCTACACTTCCTCGCAGTGTCTTTACACGTTCTCGGCGGGACCACCGGCCTCGCTTTGTTTGGTAGGGGCATTGGCCAATGCTGCATTGTGTTCCTCTTCCTTCTCAGTGGTCTCGTCTGCGCTCGTCTCGTCCGTCTTAGGCTCATCCGCCGGAGCAGAAAAGACTGGGGCGATCTTGCTCTTTGACCTAATCTTGGCGCCATAGAAGTAGAAAGCGAAGGGAATGGGAGCAAGCACAAGCGCTACGCAGCCCAGCAGTGTCGAAGCCCACTCGATGTGCATGCCGAGGAACATTTGACGACCAAAAAGCGGGAAAGCAGCACCAAATAAAGATCTCATAAAAGTGTTGCCAGCAAGGGCTGAGGCGGCGAACATGAGGTATGCATCGACAATGTAATTGAGGGCCTGGAGGAAAATCGACATGAGACCAAAGCCGGTGAGGATACCGCTGACAGCCGGGGCGGCCCAGTGAATGCTCTCCTTGTATCCAGTCCTGACATGTTGTTAGTTGACTGATCAAACGAAATAATTGGAGATGATTTTAAGAAAAGACGACTTACCATCCGAACCAAAAGATACCACCAGCAAACGCAACGCCACCAACCATCATGTTAGGCAATCGCCACTCGGGAATAGGAATACCGTGGTTGGCCTCGAGCTTGCGGTTGTACCACGGAACCTGAAGAATGATGGTGAGGGTCGCAAGAAGCTCACCAATGATCAAACCAAAAAAGGTCAGACCGGACTGACCCAAGTTGAAGCCATGGACACCGACGAAAACCAGGGGGTATGCAGTAAAGAAGAGGTAGAGCAGCCCATAGATGAAGCTCATGTAAATGGAAAGAAGCAGGATAATGGGCTCCGTGAAGAGGAGTCGCAAGGGACGGGTAAAATTCTTGCTGACGAGCTCGCCAAAGTCGATTTCGATTTCCTCCTGCTTGGCGTGGATGCCCCAGTTCTTGGTGCGACGTCGTAGTTCCGAAGCCTTGCCAACGAGAATGACTGGTGGGTACGACTCGGAGAGGAAAAACAAGTCAAGAATGAAGGCAGCGAATCCCATAATGGCAGGGAGATACTCAGTCCAGCGCCATCCCAGATATGATTCGACAATGAAGCCACCGATGAAAGGCGCCAGCATGGGACCGGTGAAGACAGTCATGGAGAAGATGGCAATCGCCGTTCCTCGAGTCCTGTTGTCAAACATGTCGGAGAAGACAGCAGCAACGACAGCCAGGGGGGCGGCGCCGAAGAAACCACCAAAGAATCGACAGATGAGAACGGTCTGAATGTCCTTGGCGGTGGCGGTTGCGATCGTGAAGAGGGAGAAACCAAAGATGGAGAGGACAATGGGCAGACGACGGCCCTTGAGTTCGGACAAGGGAGCCCAGAGACTGGGACCAAAGGCGAAACCCAACACATACAGGGATGTGCCTAGAATGCCAACCTCGAGGCCAACGTCAAACTTTGCAGCAACTGTGCTTGTTGCAGAGGAGAAGATGGAGGATGTAAAGGTGCTCGTGACGGTGGTGTAGGCCAGCATGGCAGCCGTCAAGATCTTCTTTCGAAGAGGCCAGTTCTGGGCATGTAGGGGGTCGTTGGGTCCGTCAAACTCGACGACGTACTCTTCCTGGGCTGGCAGCTGGGGAGGATATGGCTTGCCGCCGCCAAATGACGGCAATGGCTTTCGAGAAGCTCTACTCTCAGTACGAATTGAGCCTCCAACAGTATTAACGTGCTGGCTTCGTTGAGTTGCAATGCGACTCAGGGCGGTGGGGTGGCGCTCTAGATCGTTCTGCGTAGATACACGACTCATGTTTCTGCGGAACACGCTGCCTTCTGAAGACGCAGACGAGGCTGAGGATGCCGTGATGACGCGCTCTATTTCGTTGCTTGCCCGGCTCTGATAGCGCTCGGGGGAGGCAGAGCGCTCTGCCTCCATGAGTTCCCGGTCGAGGGGATCCATGGTGACCAAGTCGGTGACGCTCCTCCGTATGTGTGATGTACAATCTGCAATCTGCTTCCCAATTGGCAGCCGTAGCAGCTACAAGAAGGAGCTACAGGAAAGGAGAGGCCAGAGAGAAGACGAGGACGAGGCTCGGGATGATATAACAAATATTGATTGTCCGAAGAGGATTTCTGTTCAAGAAGAACAAAATCTCCAGCGCCGAAAGAGGAGAGAGAAAAGAGGAGGGATGTGAGAGCTAGAAGGGCCAGGGCCGAAAAGCTTGTCGCAGGGACGGCAGTTGTGCGATAGGTGGAACGAGGAGTCTACGGTACGATTGATCGGGAGCTAGGTGGACCAAGATATCATGTACTCGCTACTCGGCTGCTTTAGACCGGCCGAGTGTTACCGGAACAGGATAAGCAGTCGGCAGGCTAGTACGAGGAGGGAATAGGCGACGAGCTGGCGGGGCGAACTATTAGGTAAGGTGGATGCGATGATGAAGAAGAGTTACGAGTGAGTCGTATGAGGCCGTGAGAAGAAGAGAAAAGAAAAGAAATATCGGTCGTATATCGTAATAAATGAAGACGGATAAAAAGAGTCGCCGGCGGAGGATATTCGCTCGTTCCAATGCTAAAACAGTCTGTAAAGACAAACAAGGGTGAAGAGTACACCAAGCCTATTGCATCAACTTAACTAACTAGCAGGGCGACACAAAGGATCTCAGCGACTGCACGGAAAAGGATGGCGGATAAAATAAAACAACCAATGCATGTAAGACATAACAAGCGGCGCACCGCTTTCTTTTATGGGCGGCGGACTCAATGCCAGAACATGTCACTAATTGCTACCATCGACACTCGGCTTAAAACTAGTTGATTACGGAGCATGTTCCGCTGAATATACGAATATGCTAACTACCTACTACAACCAGAGGTTCGGCCCCCCGATGTTACCCAGCCCGTCGATGGGGCCGGCTTTGAAATCTCTGCGCTCCCTGACAGGGCCCCTCCCCTATTTTTTTCGTCTTGTCCTGCGGCAAACCTGCTTGGATGGACACCAAACAATGGAGCCAGCTAAAATCCGAATGCCAGATAGGGCTCGAGCTAGGGTCTTCGACTACCGGTGCGCATCCCGGATGTCTGGCTTGGCTCCACCGCTGCGTCGAAACATGTGGCATATCTACGAAACAGCACGAATCGTGGTTCTAGGCTCGGGAGCCAGCCGTAGAACAATTGATGCCCAATTGCTTTTTTTCTTCTTTTTTTTTCAAATGTCCCCTGTTCTTTCAGGCAGTTGCCAAGCAGCCTTGCTCCACTAGATATCCAGCTCCGTCCCCTATGTCATTTCGGCCTGCTTGAGATACAGTAATAAAGTCGACTAGACATGCTACATTGTTAACTCCTCGGCACGGAGACAGCGGCCACGAACACGGCGGGTTTTGCATAATCGATCATCGTACTCCGTACGTACACATACACATCTACGTATGATTGCATGGATACCCACCCGTTGGCGGACATCCATTAGAATTTCCAATACCTGTAACATAGCCTCTCTCGGGCTTGGTCCCCATGGAGTGTCCGTCCGATGGTTCTTCTTCTATCCGCCGTCTTGTCTCGGCCGGTTTCGCCTCTGCCGCTTACCTTTGCTGTGCTATGACGTAATTCCGCAATCTTTCCAGCACCGTTTTTTTTTCTGTCGGCAGCGGAAGGCCGAGAAGCGACGCTCGGCTGTCGGACCTAGCACTAGGCGAATTAGCCGTGCAGCGAGTTGGTCAGCGGCTGATATCGGAACAAAGGCCTGTTTATGTCGTGTGAGAAAGTGGGATCTCTTACTGACCCCGGGGCAAAAGCTTGATTCCCTATCAGAAAGAACGAGAACGAGAATCGCCTCAGGGATTCCTCTAGTAGATTCCAGGACCTGCACATCTTTGACAACCCCTGGCGGCGCGGCCATGATTTATGCGCCGGCTGGGTCGTGTCCTGATTGGCCGGTGAACATGTCCGGGAACGGAGAATATCGTATAAAGTCCGACGCCGAGGTTTATTGCAGCGCACTGCGAATCCCATTGACTTGCAAACACGGCCTTGTCGCCCAGGAATAGCATCAGCATCTTCATCCTGAACCGGCAACTTTAGCTCCCGCTCTGCCTTATCAAATCTCTGTGCACGAACGATGGAGCCGTGCACAGCGAGGCATGGTTACCTCAGCAAGCTTAGGTACTTGGCCGTCTAAGCTTGCCTGGCATCGGGCTTTGTCACTTGTGTGTCTTGGTGATGACTTTGCATGCCCAGAATGGCAACTTACATTGGTAATCGATGGGTGCTAAGGGACTACATTCATACCAATTCTTAGTACTACAACTGAAGTCCTATACCAAAGACTCAGAAGAAACAAAGACGCTATTGGTCTCGGGAGTGTGAACAATCCTGCTGCAAGCTACATGTACACTGTTCTCACATTGACTTGCTTCAATCCTTCACTTAATCTCCCTGGCCGCTGAAGGACGCAATGCATAGTCTGCAAACAAGTATCAATAAAGAATAGTCGACTTTCGCTCAACGAATCCAATAGTTAGTGCACAGCGATAATGTCGCTTCGTAGGCAAATGATCCCATTTCCACGCGTCGCCTAGGGGGGGGTGACCGGATCCTTCCAAAGTCCATGTCGCTAAAAAGTCCGGCTGAGTGGCTGAAGCTGAGAAAAAGTGACACGAACAAAAGTCAAAACGGAGAGTTGGTAGCTCAAGCTTCACTGATCGGATTTTTCTCAAATGAATACAAAAAGGTTGCAGACGTCTTGTCTCGAGGACGGATGAATCAGTAAATCATCAAAGCAATTCTCGCATCGCAGCCTCTCCTGTTTTCATCGACGTCTCACTGATAGCCTTACACCGTAGCTCACTTACACAACGGCCGCTTACAGCTACTCCGCACAAGACCACCACTTTATTGAAAAGACTTCGTTCAATATGCAAAACCTCAAGATTGCCATCATTGGAGCTGGCCCAGCTGGTAAAATTCCTCAATAACTAAGAAAAAGCATTTCACTGTATCAGCGCCAGCAACTAACCTTTAATATAGGCTGCACTCTTGCCCGAATCCTTCATCTCGGAGGCATTCAAGCCACCGTATTCGAAGGCGAGGCCTCTGCCAATGTCCGATCTCAAGGCGGAACCCTGGACTTGCACACTACTTCCGGCCTCGCCGCTGTCAAAGAAGCTGGCCTATGGGACATCTTTCTATCTCATGCGCGCTACGATGGTCAATACATGGCCATTGTGGATAAGGACCTTTACTATTACGTTGTCCGAGGTGCTGACGCCGAGTCAAACATCGCTTTTGGCGAACGCCCGGAGATTGATCGTGTGAAGCTCAGAGAAATCCTGCTCGACTCTCTTCCTGAAGGAACCGTTAAATGGGGACACCGCCTGCAAAAGGTAGAAGGCAGCACCTTGACCTTTACCAATGGAACTACCGCCAGTTTCGACCTTGTTGTCGGTGCCGATGGTGCGTTTAGCAAGGTCCGACTGTCCATTGCGCCAGAGCTGGTGCCCGAGTACACCAGAGTGGCAATGCACGACATCTCCATCCCCGACGCTGAAAAGACTTCTCCTGAGACTTACAAAATCGTCAACCGCGGGAGTATTTTCGCCAGTGCGGACGGTCAGCGATTCACCCTCCAGCAAATGGGCGATGGCAGCATTTCCATGGGCTTTAATTTCGTGCGCGAGGATCCCGACTGGATGAAGCCCGAGAAGTGTGGCTACGACGCCGAAAATCTCGTCGAGGTGAAGAAGGCCTTGAAGAAAGAGCTGGAGCATTGGGGTCCTCAGTTTCATCAAGCACTCGACGCTGCTCAGGGACGAACAACGACTAGATCACTGTGGCGACTGCCTATTGGACAGAAGTGGGAGCACAAATCCGGCGTCACTCTTATTGGTGATGCAGCCCATCTGATGACGCCTCATGCGGGCGAGGGCGTGAACCAAGCCCTCGAGGATGCCATGTTGCTTGCTCGAGTGATCCTCAAAGCTCAGAGTATTGAAGAGCTCGACGAACAGATCCGTGGATTTGAGTCCGACATGATAGCCCGTGTGCAGCCGATCCAGGAGCTGGCTTGGGATCGCTGCCAGGGGCTGATGTTCACCGAGGGCGTGCCAAAGACTCTTGTCGACAGGGTCGTGCAGCGTCGAAAGCAGCAAATGGCAGAGGGCAAGTCTGCAGAGGAGCTCAAGAAAATGGATGAAGCCATCGCCAAGGCTCAAGCAGAGGCTGATGCTATGAACCGAACCTGATGCATAGAGCTATGAGTCCAGCTTCGCCAACTAAAAGGTTCTCATAGCTAGATTTAGCAACCTTTTGCTTCTTAAGTGTTGTTGATTTTGAGCCGTTTTGATATTTATTTTAGTCTGATGCTGTGTTCACGCAGGTTGAGATGTCGGCGAGCGAGCAACATTGAGGTTGATTTGATCTGTTTCGTCACATGTATGTATGGGCCTAACAACCCAATCAAATATTGCAATTATTTTAAATAATATCATATATCCCTTATGAGATGCTCTTTCCTTTCTAATGTGATATAAAGATGTGTGGCAGGCAACAGAGTGCCGCGTACCTGCTGCGTCACAGCTAAGCAACCCCGCGCCAAACGTGTTTCTCTATGACAACCAAAATCACCACCAGAAGATCAACTTGATCTCTGAGTAAACATCAACTCGTCAAAAACAACAAACCATTTTCAATAACTAGGCGAAAAGATACATCGTCCAGCATGCCTACCGAAGGCGTTTACATACGTCCATCCGGGCAGAAGACCTTCATCCCGTTGGAAAACAACCCGGAAGTCTTTACATCGCTCGTGCACGACCTCGGAGTCTCGCCCGATCTCGGATTCTACGATGTCTACAGCCTCGACGATGCTGATCTTCTTTCGTTGGTGCCTCGTCCAGTTCTAGCCCTGATATTCATCACTCCCGCACAGATGTATTTTGCCGTTCGCGAGGAAGACAAGACTGCCGTGTCGCCTGCACAGTTGACCTACGATAAAAGTGGTGATGAGGAACCCGTCATCTGGTTTCAACAAACAATCGGCCATTCATGCGGCCTTATGGCATTGTTGCATTCCGTAGCCAATGGCGAAGCGAGGGAGTTTGTTCAGAAGGAGTCCTTCTTAGATGGCTTGCTGAACGAAGCCACGCCGCTTAAGCCCGTCGAAAGGGCAGCCTTATTATACAACAATGAAGAGCTTGAGAAGAAACACATGAAGGCTGCCAGAACCGGAAGTTCTCATCCACCCGGGGCAAACGAAGACAACCATTTCCATTTCATCTCCTTCGTCAAGGGAAAAGATGGTCATTTGTGGGAGCTGGAGGGCGCCACGGACGGCCCCGTAGACCGGGGACTGATGCAGGAAGGCGATGATGTGCTGAGTGAAGGAGCTCTGAGCCAAGCGATACGCAAGTTTTTGGCAGCCGGAAATGGGAATCCGAACTTTAGCATTGTAGCATTGGCCAAGAAGCCCGCTGAGTGAGACATCATGTCGTCAGGAAGGAAGCCTATATCTAGACTACAAGAGAGGATAGAGATCGGTATAGTAAGCATTAAACGAAAATGAAGGACCATTGATCCCATACAACCGATAAGACATTTCCGAGTAATAGAAGCAAATCGCCATGTGGCATTGCGTATCTTATCAGATCTTGATCTCAAACAGGGCTCCTTTTAAAGGCATGGTGGGACGGGAAGCGTCACCGAGCCTTAGTGCCGGGGTCACGCCGCCATTTCCATTTCGGAACTTGGAATCCGACGTGGTCCAAACAACTTCAACTTTCCTCTTGAAGCTCACGGGCGCAACACAATCGCGGCACCAACGTCGGAGTTTGCTATCGCAATGGATAGCTCCCAGGCGCCGCTGATTTCGAGCAACCGCCACGATGACGATGCGCCATACGATGCCGTTGACGACGAGCCTGGATCGAGAGCTTCCCCAGCGAAGGCGATCGACGGCCATCCTGGCCTGTTTGTTCTAATTTTGACCTTTGCTGCCGGCATAAGTGGACTCTTGTTTGGATGTGAGTTCTTTGGTCGTCTACGGGTTATGAAAAGCTGCTGACGAGTTTTCTAGACGATACCGGTGTCATATCTGCCACGCTCGTGTCGATCGGAAAAGCGCTGTCGGACCGAGATCTTACTTCGATGGACAAGTCGATCATCACGTCGTCAACCTCTTTGTTTGCGCTTCTCATATCACCGTTCTCGTCCATCATTGCCGACCGGCTAGGCCGCAAACGAGTCATTCTATACGCCGATATTCTATTCATCGTCGGGGCAGTTCTACAGGCCGTCAGCTCTACCGTGCCGGTCATGGTAGCCGGCCGCTGCATTATTGGCGCCGCGGTGGGAGCGGCAAGCTTCGTGGTGCCTCTATACATCGCCGAGATTGCGCCCTCGTCATACAGAGGCCGTCTTGTGACTATCAATGTGCTCTTCATTACGCTTGGGCAGATGGCGGCGTACATCATTGGCTGGGCGCTGTCTACATATGCGTCGAAAGAGACTGGGTGGCGGTGGATGGTGGGATTGGGGGCGCTGCCGGCGGGTTTGCAGGGTGCTCTTGTCGCCTTCATGCCAGAGACACCGCGCTGGCTGGTAAAGGCTGGGCGATCTGACGATGCCAAACGTGTTATTCAAAAGGTCAATGGTGTACAAGGACGATTTGATGGCACTGCAGATGCTATTATCAAGGAGATTGAGATTGAAGTCCGCGAAGAGGAAGAGGCACGACATCTTCAAGACCGCCAGGCATCGGGCCCATGGAAGGGGCTCGGTGCGTGGCACGAGCTCTTGGGCGAGGGCAAACATCGCCGCGCACTAGCTATTGCGTGTCTCCTGCAGGGGCTGCAGCAGCTCTGTGGTTTTGTAAGTGCTTCTTGAGCAACCTGAGTTTACAATCTCCCTGTGGCTAACTTGGGATGACTGCCTAGAACTCGCTGATGTATTTCTCGGCCACCATATTCTCCATCATGGGGTTTGAGAGTCCTACGCTGACATCTCTCATCGTTGCGATTACTAACTTTGTCTTTACGCTTATTGCCCTGGGCCTCATCGACCGTATCGGCCGCCGACGGATCTTGTTATACTCGATACCCTTTATGGCTTTGGGCCTGTTGTTAGCCGCAGCCGGTTTCTCATATCTATCTCTAGAACCGTCACCAGCCACTCGTGATGAGGATGCCACGGCACCAGCAGGCGAGGGCGAGACCAGATCGGCCGTAGTCGTCCTCGTCAGCATCATGATTTACGTGGCATCATATGCTCTGGGCCTAGGCAACGTGCCATGGATGCAGAGCGAGCTGTTTCCTTTGTCCGTACGTTCAGTGGGCAGCGGAGTTGCGACGGCAACCAACTGGGCAGCAAACTTTGCTGTTGGCTTGACCTTTTTGCCGCTGATGGATGCACTGAGTCCGTCGTGGACGTTTGTCCTTTATGCGGCGGTCTGTGCCGTTGGGTATGGCCTTGTTTGGCGGATATATCCCGAGACGGCCGGCTTGAGCCTCGAGGAGGCCACGGCGTTGCTAGACAACGGATGGGGCGTGCGACGATGACTGAGCGATTGACGTGTTCTTTTTAATTTAATTTTATCTGATAGAGCAAGGGACATAAATCACGAACGCGGAATTAGAGTCAAATCTATTGCCTGATACATACGGAGTACCTACTTTTGCGGATTTTTCAGGGACCGCGTTGCCATGGTAGCTGTGTAAGAGTGTCTGGGATTGTGCAAGGTATCATGCAAGGTACCGCAGTCGGTGGCTGGAACCCTTCACCTGGGGGGCTCAGCACTGGAGCATTCTAGAAAGCTTCCAGATGGCGCGTTTGTTAAATACTACACAGAGAGGGACACTTACACACGGAGTCAGTTGGATGCCACGGCTGGATTGTGATAGCTGTTAGTGGGAGACACGCGCAGATTGTGAAACTGGATGAATGTCACGCAAAGGGCACATGTGCTAGACTACCTGCTTACTGTCTTGGTACAATTTTACGTATGAGTATAATCCATTAAACTACGTGAAATGAGTCGAATTGATCTGTGCTGAGAAATGAGTGTCTATCGTCAATCTCAGATGAAGCACCACGCAGAGACAATGTAGTAGATCTACAGCAAATTTACGGAGTAAGTAGACCAGGCTTGACAGGGCTATTATTAGCACTGAGGACACAGACTCGTATCTTGCAGTGACTATCCATCAACCGCACTTTAAACTCATGGTGGGCTCCGTTGGGCAGCTATAAATAAAATTCACGGCCAGTCACATCGAAATGCTGCCCAACGTTATAGCGCACTTCAGCCACTAACAGCCTCCGGTTCCTGCGCTGGCGCTATTCGTTTTGATCTGCTGATGTGCAAGTTGCGCATGTCGTGGCCCCCCGTCGATTGGCGGTGCATCAGGGCTGGCCAGTCACTGGGACGGGATAAAAGATAGGGGGTTGAAAGAGGAAAAAAACCCTTGGAAGAAACCCAACGATAAAAAAAAAATAATGTCGTGGTGTGTGCGTTTTATGCCGCTTCTTCCATCTGTTACAGCTGAGGAGTCTCTCAACGCTTCCATCTCATCTCATCTCTATCTCCGGGTAGAAACTCACTATAAGCTTCCATATCTCAGCACCTCCTGTAGCCAACTGCACTGTCTCTTTTCGCCTGCAGATCAGAGATAACGAACCCTTGACCTCTGGAACCTGTCTGAGACACCTTTTTATTCTTAAATCAGCAGTACTTCGTATTCTCTCTCCTCAACGCAAACGGAGCTTTTATGAGCCTCCATCCATCGGACCCGAAGCTTCTCCGGGCTGTACCTTAACCGTAGACTGGCAGAGGTAAAGGTACATGGCACGTGCAGTTCAGGTGGACGAACGGACTTGCGCTTACCACACACAGACCCCCTCTCGCTCTCTTCGCTCAACATACGAACCCGGCACACAAACCAGCCTCTCGCAGCGCCATTCCTTTTCTTCTGCTTCTCTTCTGTTGTCCTCTTTAGGGTTACCTCTCTATCTCTGACTCTCAGAGTCTATCCAGTCTTCCGCAGTTCAGCCATCGCCACATCTGGTCTTTCGCTCCTGGCGCCGACTCTGTGTGTGCGCATCCCGAATACGGCCTCTTTGCTTCTGCCGTCTGCCGCTCGTTGGATGATGTGACGCTTGTTCGTTGTCGCACTTGACTGTCGCTGTCTGTGTCTATAATTGCTTGGACGAAACAACTCAACGCCCAACGACCGACTCATTTCGCATTCCATCGGGCATATATCATTGCTCGTTCGTTCGCTTTCAGGTCCGCCACACGACGCTTTCCTCGACCCGCTAGCCAGCCACCCGTTTGGCTCCCGCGATCACGGCCCGTCGAGCGAATATCAGGGGGGAAAGCCGATCTGACAAGAAACCACAACGCTACCCTGCCTTTGGAAGGGCCCAAAAAGGCGAAAAAGATTAGAAAAGAAATATAAGAAGCACGACGATGCAGCCGCAAGCTCCTGCAGCCCAGAGGGCGTATTCGCAGCGGCGAAGCCCAGGCGCGATGGATCCTGGGCCTCCGCCCAACGTTTCGGTGCGAGCCATCTCTCCTGGCATCCCGCCCGGCAACCCCCAGCGGGCATCCAACGTTTCCATCAGATCCGCTCCGTCTAGCAGCGGTTCAAGAAGAACAACTCGTGAGGTATGTCATCCCTGGTTTGTCCTGTTTCTGGCTCCTGAGCTGCGCAAATCCAGCGGCGCGACTCGAGCTGACCGTGTGTGCAGGGTTCATCCGGATCGGGAAGCGGCTCCAACATGCCCTTATCGCAAATCGAAAAGAGCGTCACTCACCTCCTTGTAGCCACCAAGCAGCTGCTCGAGACACTGACACAGTGGTCGCGCGGCCAAGCAACCGATGCGCAAGTCTCCGATGTCTATGTGCGATTAGGCTATGAGTTCAACATGGCTTGCCGGGCTTTTACGGCCATCAATGTCGATACCTCCGACCTCGGTAACGTCCCCGATTTACTGCGAAGCATTCTCGAGGCCTGCCTGAGCCAAGAAGCGAGCGCCGAGAGCTTGGAGAAATATCTACCTAGGATTCGAGATATCATCATCAACCTGCTCCACGGTTTGAAGCGGAAACAGCAGAGGTTGCGCCAGAAGCAAGGACGTGATAGGGATGGCTCCGCTGTACCAGAGAGAACCACCAGCGTCAGCACCGTCGGAAGCGGAAGCGGCCTGACCAATATGCTGGAAGATATGGACAGCCACCGATCGAGTTCACACCGACCAGGATCGGGTCCGCAGCAAAATGGCGGATCGTCGCCCACGCGACGCTTCAACGCTGATCGAGACCAATCTAGGGGTTCGGTCGCTTCAGAGGTGTCGTCCGCTTCAAGCACCACCATGCAGAACATTACCGTTGTACCACCCTACCCGACGGACGACTCGTCTCTGCCCGCAGGACCACCGGCACCAGAACTCAACATTGACGCTTTTCCACCGCCGCCTCCGCCACCACCGGATAAGACATCGAGTGCCCTGGCGGCGCTGCAAAAGGGCGGTGATTTGGAGAGAAGAGCGTCACGAAGATATTCTCAGTACCAGATTTCGAAGCATCTTGGTGGATCCGGAAATGTCGTCCCTATGCTGCCCTCACAGACTGGGCCGACGCCGAACAGAGGAAGGAAAGAAGCGAGGGAATCTCTACGCGCCGTCCAGTCGCGTGAATCCGTTCGGCACAGTCGAACTGCATCCCAGATCAAGGCCGGTTCCACCTTCGACAACTCTCCCATTCGAGTACCTACCCGAGTAGAAGAGGAGGCCTTGCCCAACCAGCCATCAGTTGTTGTCGAAAGCCCATCCGTGCAAACTCCAGATGACAAGTATGCTCCCAGCGCGACTCTTTCCGGCCCTCTGAACGATTCCAATCCTTTCATGACGGAGGCTCCACGCCCGGGGTCCAAGAAGGAACAGAAAACCAAGCTAGACGATGCCCCAACATCAACGCCTCATCCCGCCGAGTCAAAGCCAAACGAGCCCTACTTCCAGGTTTCGCCTCCACCGACGCCGACGAAGGACTTGACACTCTTCCTCCAGTACAAGTCAAAGGTTAAGAAGATTGTTCTACCCGAAGGTCGCGACGAACTTTCCATTGGGCGCCTGCAGCTGGCATTCATCGAAAAGTTCTCATGGAACACGCAGCAAAACGGGGCTGATTTACCAGAGATCTATATCCAGGACCCTGTGTCCGGTGTGCGACACGAGCTGGAAGATTTAAGCGACATTAAGGACCGAACCGTTCTGGTGCTTAACGTGGAGCCGCTGGATGAAGTTAAACGACACATTGATGAGGGCATGTTTGCGCTCACCAAGATTGTTCGAGAGGTGAAGCAGAATGTTGATGACCAAGCCGTCACTCTCCAGCGGGTGTCGGATCGTCAACAGGAGGCGGCCAAGGAGATGGCTCAGATTGTGCTGGAGCAGGCCCAACAGTTGCCTGTGCCAGCTGCGGACGGAACAAAGACGCTCTTGGGAGCCGGTCGAAAGCTCGACAGTGGCCAAATGGGAGAAATCCAAAGCCTGCGGCGCGATCTCGCTGTTCTCCGACAAACCTACTCAACTTTCCAGTCTGAGATTCAGACTTCCATGTCCACTCTTCGCACCAAAGCTGCCAATGTCAAATCCGTGGCTGCCAAGGCCGCGATCCCTAGCATGGACGGAGACGCCGGTTACGCCTATGTTTCCAACGGCCGAAAGCAACTTAACGCCGACTCCGACCGATTGGTGGCCAAGGTTGACGATCTCCAAGATTTGGTGGAAGATTTGCGAAAGGATGTTGTGCACCGTGGTGTTCGACCGCTACCTCGACAGCTTGAAGGCGTCGCTAAGGATGTTACAAATCTTTCCAAGGAGCTGAAGGCAATGGAAGACTACATGCACAAGGAGAAGCCCATCTGGACCAAGATTTGGGAGAAAGAGCTTGAAGACGTCTGCCAAGGTCGTGATGAGCTGCGCATTATGGAGGAGCTGCTTATCGATCTGCGCGACGACTTGGAGAAAGCATCAGAGACCTTTACACTCGTTGAGCAGGCTACAAAGGAGCAGATGAAGGACAGTGGAACGGGTCACAGTGCTAGTACTGCCCGCACCTTTTCCAAGGGCCTGAACAACCTTGGCAACAGTCTCGACCAGAACGCTGCCAAGGAGGATATGCTGGGCGAAGTTCGAGCTTTACAGCCCAATCACCAGGACCGTCTAGAGGCAATCGAGCGCGCCGAGAAATTACGACAGAAGCAAATGAAGAACCGAACCGACAATGCACTTCATCGTGAAATTCACGCCTTTGTTGCCGAAGGCAAGCTGAAAAAGTCGGGAGGTTTCGAAGAAGTTGAGCGTGCCCGAATCGCCAAAGACGAGAAGATCCGACGTGAGGTTTGGGAGCGAATGAACGGCTATGTTGCTGGAGACGATGAAGAGGAAGAGGAAGAGGAAGAGGAGGAAGAAGAGGAGGGTGAAGAAGAAGGAGAAGAGGTTGCGGAGGAAACCAACGAGATTGGCAACGGAAGCCAGCCTGGTTCACCCAAGAAGA